CCAACTATTCTCCTTAGCTCGTTGAAGTTTGCCCTCCTAAAATCTAGGGCTGCTGCCTTGCTGCAGGCCTTTGCTACCTTGCACTGGATGGTGAATTCCAGCAGGCAATGATCACTGTCACCCAGGTGGTGAGGGGGCTGCGGGTGCTCGACCAGGTCATCTCCCGTGGCCAGCACCAGGTCCAACAAGGTGTCTCCCCTGGTGGGGCTGTGCACCTCTTGGGTTAGATGGAGGTCCTGAATTCTGGTTAAGAACCTACATGAGCGGTCAAACCTGGCTGACTGCTTTTCCCAGCAGATGTCCGGGAAGTTCAGGTTCCCCATGACTACCACATCCTTAGACTTCACAACCTCCGTGAGCTGACCTAAGAATTCCTGGTCGAGTTCTTCGCCTTGGTTGGGAGGTCTGTAGTTGACCCCCACCGTTAATTCTCTTTCCCCGTGACTGCCTTGTATTCTAACCCAAAGCACTTCAAACTTGTTGTTTTCTTAATATTTTTATATGGCTATCCCTACCTACTAATGTTTTTCAAAAACCTTTTCAGCAGGGCAGAAAATGGCTATAAACCAGTTCTAGCAAATGCACAAAGCAAACAGATTTTTCATTAATTTTAGTCACAGCGATCTTACGCCTTAGTGGTAATTATACTAGGCACAGAACTTTCAGACAAAACATGACTTTTAAAGTTGATTATTCCTCCTTAAAATTATTTGTTTTCAGTATTAAAACGAAGTAAAGCTATCTGATTTAAAAATTATATTTAATAAAGCAGCAAAAATGCTGCAATACAAGCATGTGGATGGTATTCAGTAGACTGGTGGCACTCAAGTCAGCAGAATGTGAGTTCTTACATAACAATATCAGTTAATCACATCAGTCTTTCTTTCAGTGTCCATAAAACCTTAATACTTTTATTTTTCAGGAGTACTTCTGTACGGTCCTCCAGGTTGTGGTAAAACTCTCATTGCCAAAGCTACAGCAAAGGAAGCAGGTTGTCGATTTATTAATCTCCAACCTTCAACACTGACTGACAAATGGTATGGGGAGTCTCAGAAACTGGCTGCTGCAGTCTTCTCCCTTGCTATGAAGCTCCAACCGTCCATCATTTTTATTGATGAAATAGGTAAAACAATATATCTATATATAGTCATAGAAAGGAAAGATTAAATGCCAACTTAAAATTTGATAGGTATATTAATTTATTACCAAGGTCTACCAAAAGTGATGGTAGTGCAGTAAGAAATACAACCTGTGTTGAACAACAGTTGTGTATAGTTGCATGTTTCTGCATTTTTTTTTTTTTATTTGCATAAAATGTCAAAAAAAAATAGATATTGATGCAGAAGAGCCACCAATTTTCCATCTCCTTTAGACTAACTGTCATTTAGGAAGCCCATATTTAGAGAAGAAAAGCTTTCCTGGAAGTGCATGACTGTTGCTAGAAGATCTGAATTAATGTTGGTCTCATCTTGATAAATATTGAGGAAGGGGACTGGGGGAAAACAAGAAATGGCTAGATAGATGTAATAAAACAAAAACGAATGAAAGAGAGAAAAAAATAGAGACTTTATAGTGGTGAAAAATCCTTATTTTTAGAGAAAGCAGTGAAGAGAATTTTGGGATTACTGACTTGCAAGTTATAAATCCAAGATTAATGAGAAAATAACACTTCAGTTAAAATTGTTCATTTTCTTCCCTCAAGCATATATTACAATAACTCATGGGCCTTGGAGGAAAACAATTCACTGTGAAGATATAGTAAAGCTACTTCACGCTGCTTATAGTCACTTTTTCCAGTGATGTTTGTTTGTTTGTTTGTTTGTTTGTTT